GACGTGACGTGCTTGTCGTTGCTCGAGAGGCGCAACAGGTTCGGGTATGCGCCCACGTTCGCCAAGATCGGAGCCGTCGACGACGGCGAGAGCACGACGGTAGAGATGTCGGCTCCAGCGCGCCACTCGGCGGCTGTCACAGCAGCCACGTCATCCGAACAGAACGGGCCGATGGTGGCGACTACTCCATTCAAGTCGGAGTACAGCTGATCGAACTGGCGTCGAATGGCCTCAGACTCGGCACAGCCGGTGGTCCCTGTCTGAACCATAGAGTAGAAGAGCGTGTGATCCGGAAGTAAGTCGTCTAGGAAGCCGTCCTTCTTGTCATTGATCCGGTCAATGATGTGCATCACATGCTGGCATTTCTCGTACACGATGAACCATGGCGAAATATCACAAAAGACTCCGACGCGCAGCGTGTCGCCCGCGAGTTCTGGCGGCTTGCTGTTGTCGGGCGTTGGCCTCGTCAGCGCCTGACCGTTGCCGGCAAAGCTCTGCTCCCAGTTGTCGGCTGGCTGCCAGGTGCCAAGCTTGACCCACGCGCCTGACGCGTTCACGTTCATCACATCGTAAAGGACGCCACCCGCGCGGTCGCCGAGGGTGGCCGGCTCGGACGAGAAGGAGACTTTGCCCGTCACGCCGTCGAACCGGACGGCGAGAAGGGCCGCCATCAGAGCGTCGCCGTCGATACGCTGAACCAACGGGTCGTCCACCAGCGCTTGCACTGCGTGCGCCACAGCGTACACAGCATCGTAAGCTCTCGAGGCGTAGACGCTCTCGGGAAACTGATTGTTGGCACCGAAGCAGCGTGGCGCCATGGCATTCTCATCCGTATCAACTGACCAGAGTTTGTGCCCCTCGTCGTCCTCCGCCGGGTCGCAATTTGTCCCGTCGCCGAGCGTGGATGGGCGCGCGCGCTTGCGAGAGGCGTAGCCGTCGTACGCCACGCTTGGCGCGATTGAGTTTGTGATCGCGAGCATTCCGCGGAAAGGTTCCAATACGCCATGATCACCCAACACGCGGGCAGCCTCAAACATGCCGTACTCACCGACCCAAGTGTACTTGGGGCCGACGAGCCGAAGGTCCAAGGCTTGCTCCAAAAGGCGAGCTGCGTCCTGTGAATGAACAATGGCGACAAAGACGGTCGCGCGAGATGCATGCAAAGCAGCGAGGGGCTCGCCGAAGTTGCTCTGACCGTTTTCGAAGCGGACAGACTCGAGGACGGTGATTCCTTGAGCAGACGCAGCCGCCTCAAAAGCCGCCATGCCGGCGGTGCAGTATGCGTCCGTGCACGCAATGGTGGCCACGCGCTTGATGCCGAGGAGGTTTCGAGTAGTTTCGGCGAGCCCGACCGAGAGGAGGGAGTCGGAGCTGATAACCCGCGCGAAAAAGGGAAAGTCGTCGCCGCTCAGGTCTGGGCTCGTGGACGCATGTGAGACTTGCGGCGTGTCCGCCAGCGCCGACAGCCTCGCAGCGGAGATTGACGCGCTCGAGCAGAATGCACCGATAAGCGCGTGAACGCCCGCCCCACCAAAGGCGCGACGTAGCAGCTCGTACGCTGCGTCGAAGCCGAAATCCGGGTCGCAGCGCGAGTCGCGGTAGGAGAGAAGCAGCTGCGTGTTTGGAAGCAGATCGTCCGCCACGCCGTCTGTCTTGTTGTTGATCTCCTGGATTGCCATGAGCACGGACGTCAGGTCCTCTGCCCGACCCAGGTGCATCAACTCGCCGCTTGGCAGCTGCCTCGGCAAGAGGGCGCCGATTCGCACAACTGCAAAGGGCGGCGGCGGCGGATAACTCGGCGGCGTTGGCGAATACTCCGGCTCGCAATGAATCCAATTTCCGCCGTACAAGCCAGTGTTGATGCCTGAGTCAGGGTCAGGGTCGGCGCACGGCAGCGACTCGACGACGCACCACGGTGGGTACGGTCCGTCGCACGCGACCGGCGGGCAACCGGACTGCGGCTCGCTGCAAGCGTGGCCGCTGTCTGGGTCCGTCCAATTCAAAGCACAGGTGCACGGCTCAGTCGCCGCCGGTGCCGCCGGCACGAGGGTGAGAACGGCGAACATAGACTGGGGCAGAATCTCCGGTGCATCAGGACTGGGACGTGCAGGAGGTTGGCACGCCGTGCACAGCGGAATTTTTTCTTTTTTTGAGGTTTCTATTTTTGTTCCGCTCCCATTTACTTTTCCTGTTTTTTAACTTTTCTTTTTCTCTTTACTTCTCTTCGTCTTCGACTGCACGGGTTGGCCTTTAAGGAAAGAAAGAAAACAGACAGGCGGAGGTGATGGCCAAAGAGAAAGGGGCGGCGGGAACAAGGCCCGCCGGGGGGAAGGCCGGCGGGGGGGAAAGGCCCGCCGAAAAGGGGCCCGTCCCGCCGGGGGGGGGAGGGCAAGGGGGGGGGTTGCC